CCATGGTTGCTTTCTCTCCCTCCCTCCCTCCCTCCCTACCTCCCTCCCTCCCTACCTCCCTACCTCCCTCCCCACCCCGCAACTCCCTTCATGATTCATTCTCCTCCGTCGAAACTCTTGTCATTTTTGCTGAGACACTGCCTGTCTTGCACACCGCAGTTGCGCTTGACTCCTCTCTTGTTGGTTTCACTCATCGTTGTTGATCCTGAGCACTTTTGACTAGTGCTGGCCAGTGCTCTGACGATTGTACATGCAGACACGGAAACACTTCGCTGTTTGATCATCTTGACCAGAGGCTTTCGAATGAAACAGCATCGTGATAGTCCCTTCAGCAGCATTCAGTTCACACTTCTCCGCTAAGGCTTCTCCCTTCCGACAGCAACATGCAGGAAACTGATCCTCTGCCAAGTGGCGAACACGAAGGGGAACCCGACCCGGCAGAGACTGAGCAAGTTGAAGGAGATCCAACCGTCAGCGAAGAGACCAAGGAGAATGACGAGGAGACCAGCTCTGCTAACGAGCAGCAGCAGCAGCAGCAACAGCAGCAACGACCATTTCCAAGATGGCAGCGAAGGAAGCAGATGGTAGTCGACAGCGCAGTGAAGGACCTTCTATCAGAGCGATTCGAGGACATGAAGAAGGCTTTCATGAGTCTGGATCTCAACGAGGACGGGAAGGTCTCCCTGAAGGAGATGCGCGCAGGGCTGGCGTTGATGGACGCGACGGTGTCAGTCTCCGACGAGGAGCTCCGCAAGATCCTCTACAACGCTAGCAGCGAGGACAGGACTTCCATCGACTTGGATGAGTTTCTCTCCTACTTCGGCCCTCACGCTCTCTACGTCAACGAGATCGAGCGGCACCTCTCAAGGGTGGCAGCGACTGCGGACGGCAGGGGGTTCGCGTTCGTGGAGCTGTCGATCAAGAACCGCAAGCTCACGGACATCGTTGCGATCAAAGACTACGTCCATCTCCGGTTCCTTGACTTCTCGCACAACATGCTCACGGACGTGTCTTGTCTGGGCTGCCTGCCCCAGCTGGTCAAAGTCGATCTCAGCCACAACCAACTCACCTCAATCCTCAGCTTCCGCCCCCCACTTGCTCTCCGAGAGGCAAACTACAGCCACAACCAGGTCTCAGCGATGAACGACCTGAGCGGGCATCGCTTCTTGGAGGTGCTGGACCTGAGCTCCAACTCGATCTCAAGCATCGGCGGCATCTCCCGCAACTTTGCGCTGAAGAGGCTCATCTTGGATGACAACGAGATCATGGAGCTGGCCAACCTCAACGACCTGAGGATCCGGTACCTGTCTATAGCCAACAATCGGCTCAGCGCGGTCATCGGCTTCGAGGGCTTTCAGGAGGATGAGGTGGAAGTCTTCAGGAACCTTGAAGCCTGCTATGACGAGATGAAGCTGGTGCCGCTGTCTCCCCTTCGCTGCGCTCATTCTCACATGCGGTGTGTAGGCGTTTGATGCCATGGACGCCAATCAGGATGGAATCTTGGACAGAAAAGAGTTTCTTCGCGGTTTGAAGCTGATCGACCCACCGCCAGATGAGAAAGTTCTGCACAAGGTAGATCTCGAGGAGATGTGCGACGTTTGAGAGCTGCTCCTTCTGTTTCTATAGATCGTAGACGTGATCGATCGATCGATTGTAATGATGATGATGATGATGAGGAGGAGGAGGAGGAGGAGGAGGAGGAGGAGGAGGAGGAGGAGGCAGCGGATGGTGACGCTGCATCGCTGCAGATTTTAGACAGACTAGACAAGAACCGAGACGGGACGATCGACAAGGTCGAGTTCCTTTCCCTAGCGCGACGACATTCGCAGGCCGTGCTGAATGTCGACAACGGCATCGAGTCAGTTCCGATGGTTCTTTGGCTCTCCCTCACTCCCGAACTTACAGGAGACTTGGTCACCTGGTGGAGCTGAACTTGTCGGGGAACGTTATCACCCGGTGATTCAAACTTGAAGCCGCCATGGAAGATGAGGGGGAGGGTGTGAATACGTGAGATTAGCAGGAGCAGGTTGTAGGTGTGGCACCTGAGTGGATGGGAGCGAGAGGGAGAGAGACTATAGTTTCAGGAGGCGGAGAGAGAAAGATGAAGAGAAAGAACTGAACGAGGAGGATCAAGGAAGGGAGTGTAGAGGAGCAGGAGCGAGGGAGCAAGTTGATGACTCCGTTGTCTCAGGCTCAACGGCTTCGGGGTTCATCCGGCTTTAAGGAAAATTGATCTCTCGTCCACGGCTGTAGAGGCCATCGACGAGCTGAAGAACCTTGCACGTGAGAACCATGCTCCTGGTGTCTTGTCGTGCCATGACGATCGCAATGAATGATGAGAGGCTGGTAGTGATGTTGTCTATTGTGACTACCGCAATGTTGATATCATCTGTGGTGATGGTGATGATGATGATGATGGTGAATCGTCCGTCGCTTGTCAGTGACTTGTGTCATGGTGTGCTGACATTTCGATCTCTTGAAGATCTCCCTCTTCTCGAGGAACTGAATCTTTCCAACACCATCGTAAGCCTTCAAGTCATCGTACGTGCTCCCTCGCTCACCATCGGGTTCCAGGTCGCACAGCAGGGCGATGCCTCGCAGTCAACCTGCTTCCGCCTCAAGGCTATTCACATCCTCAACCCTCCACAAGGGAAATGCAAGCTAAAGCTTCTCAATGAGCAGGTGAGACGCCCGTGCTCTAGATCCTCCTCCTCTCACCTCTCCCTCTCTCTTACACACTCGTGCCTCCTCCTCTGTCTCCTCCACTCCGTCACCAGCCTCCTATCTCCCTGTCCCTGGAATGTTTCTCTTCTTCCCCTTTACTTGCTCCTCTTGGTTCTCCTGTTGTGACCGCTGGTTGCACTAGTTCGTCTCTGCCGAGGAGATCGTCTCCTCCCTCAACTTCTACGACCAGGTCCTCTGCTGCTCTGCTCTCTCTCTCTCTCTCTCTCTCTCTCTCTCTCTCTCTCTCTCTCTCTCTCTCTCTCTCTCTCTCTCTCTCTCTCTCTCTCTCTCTCTCTCTCTCTCTCTCTCTCTCTCTCTCTCTCTCTCTCTCTCTCTCTCTCTCTCTCTCTCTCTCGCTCTCTCTCGCTCTCTCTCTCTCTCGCTCTCTCTGACTCATACTGACACGTGTTGGAAGGAGCATCCGCAGTACCAGGACACGAGGAGGGACGACGCGCAGGACCTTCCTCCTGCTCTTTATCAATAGCGCTGAAAGGCGAGGGGTTGACTGTATGAACTAGTCGAGCTCCCCTGCCTCTCCGATCTCACATCCTGCATAAATCTGCTTGTTCTGAGTAACGCAAGCCAGCAGCCATGGCTCACAAGAGCATGTTCCCCGATGATTGGTCATCCTCCTCCATACCAGCAGGGTGACCAATCATTCTGTGTGGGGCCGAGGGAGGAGGAGGAGCGTCAGCCGGCGGAGTTTGACCACCTCTGGGGATGTAAAGGCGATATCCCCGTTCTCGCTCAGCGTGGAACGACTGTGCACGCATATTGAAGAGAGGCTGCTGCTGCTGCTGCTGCTGCTGCCTTTCGTTTTCGGTCTCTTCGATCCTCTGTATATTGGATCTCAGCGTGAAGGCCAAGGAGGAGGATGTGATACCTGCAGCAGAATGCGGGCAACTTTGGTGTTGTTTGATTCAGCGGCATACATCAGAGCACTCTTCCCTTCAAACGAGATCTTCCCGACCGATGCTCCGAGTCTGTCAAGACCCTCATCAGCGTGTTTGTCAGGAGCAACCCGCCGCTTCTTCACCGCAGCAGAGTCTGTGTGGCATCACAGTGACCGGCAGCGGCCGAGACCTGCACTGGAGTCAGGTGCGCACGAGGAGGGTGGGGGCATCCGACGTGTATAGGAGCGAGACCGTCGAGCTCCTCGTCCGGGTTCATCCCGACAAACTTCACCATCCGCTCGATCTTGAACGCGTCCCCTGCCCTCGCCGCGTCGTGCAGGTCCTTCGTCTTCTGGTCAAACTCTGACACTAGGCCCCTTCCCTTCTTGATCCCCCACGATCCCGTCCCGATCGACTTGCGCTCCCACGTGGTCTCTCCTCCCTGATTGGAGGGCATCGCACGGAAGTTGTCCCATCGCATGATCGGCTCTTGGCGCATGTTTGCACCTCCGTCCGGAGCGCAGCATTCCCAGCTGCTGCACTGACTTTCACCTGCTCCCATCCGGGATCCGGCCTACCTTGCCATGCAAGCTCACAGTCGTCTTGTCGAGCGATGCTCACTGCAGCTGTTGGTTGCTTGAAGCATCTTCACCTTGCCATCACGCCCCTGCCTCTCGCCTTCTCTCTTGTTCTCCTGTCGCCAACGCTGCTGCCTGACAACCCTTGACTAGGCGATCCCTCGGAGCCTCCGATCGGCCGCGCCGGGCCGGGCGGGCCACTTCCAAAGTTCCGACTCGGCGACCGTCGGACTGCAGTGCCGCGGCCCAGGCTTGGATCGGAGCCGGCCGGCGCGCCGGCGCCCCCCGGCGCCCCCTCTCCCCGCCTTCAAGTACTCAAAGTTAAGCTCAAAGATCAGTACGAGGGCAATCATGGCAGGAGAGTCGAGGACTCGGAGGCTTGACCCTGACAATGTCGCCGCACTGGCCAACTTGGCAAACGGCGAGAAGAGTCGAGGTTGAAAGACAGCGAGAACCAAACCCAATCTTGCCGACTGCTGTCCCCCAAACTTAACTGATACCTTCACTTAACTGCGCGCAGGACAATCATGGCATTCGGGGCCCCGTGCCGCCCGGCGGCCCGGCGGATGCCGGGCGGGGGTGACGGCGCCAGCGATACTAGGCTCAGTGGCCGCCGCCGAACTTCGGAAGGAATGAGAACTTTTGAACACTGGCATATGATACCGGAACTTCGGAATCAGAACTTGGCACCGGGCCGTAGCACCCCCGGGGGTGCTGTGCTGGCGCGGCTTGCAGTCAGGCCGGCCCTCCGTTTGCTCCGGGCCGAGCGCTGCCCGGTCCGGTCACCATGATTCCGGGCCATTATTCACGGTCACTGAATACTGTGACACTGATGTGAGATGCTGAAGTCCGGCCCGGAGTCCAGGATAACCCATCAGTGCCATTCGCCGGTGCCGTACTACCGTACAGTCGGCACGGTCTGGGGCCGGCGTACCGGATGCTTGAACTACGGTACGGTACACACGTTACAGCCTGGCAGTACATTGAAATCATCGGAATGACTCAAGTTGCCGGCCGCCGCGGCGGTCCTACCGTAGTACCGTACTACTGAACTTCGGAACGGTGACTCCGCCTCCGGCGAGCGGCCCGGCCGCGGGCGGCCCGGCCCGGCAACCCTTCAGTCAAACTTGAATTTTCCGACAAAAAAAAAACCGTGACTGCAGTTTGACGTACCGTACGGAGGACCGGCGTACCGTCTCAAGTACGTTGACTAGCGACGGTCGGACAGCGAAAGGAGGATGCGGCCCGTCACGTCAAGGGTATCTCCGATGATCATCGACCACAGGATGCGAAGGACCCTTACAAAGAGGGACGTATCGCTCACTGGGGCTCCCCCTGCCCTGCCCTGCCCTGCCCTGCCCTGCCCTCCGACTCAGGGGCTCCCCCTGCCCTGCCCGGCCCTGCCCTGCCCTGCCCTGCCCTGCCCTGCCCTCAGGGGCTCTTCCTTCCCACCCCTCCTCTCCCCTGCCCTCAGGGGCTCCGGGAGTCCCACTCCCCTCCCCTCAGGGGCTCCCCTGCCGCAGTGCCCTGCCCTGCCCTGCCCTGCCCTCAGGGGCTTCCCTTCACACCCCTCCCTCCCCCCCCCCCTCCTTCTTGAACAAGTAGTTCTCCGACTCAGAACGTTCTATCGTCTTCGCAACCCCCTTCCCTCGGGACTTTTCTCCCCCGTCTCTCACCTCGTATGTTCCTTTCTCCCTCTAGCCTCTTCACGTGATGAATTCTCCGTCTATCCTTTCTTCGTTTCTCCACGTGAAAGCGCAGAAACACATCGCTGTCCTTCCCATGCGACCCCCGCCTTCTCTTCATTTCGCTCTCAAGCACCCTTCCTAAACGCTCCTTGCAGGCGCCTTTCATAGACGGCTCATTATCAGCACGGTGAGCACGATCTGCCTCCATTATAAAGAGGCGGATCGCTCATTGCGGGTCTGACGGACCAGCGGTGTCTCCTCTTCGTAGTTGGACCATCACTGTACAGAGTGGTAACATGGCGAGAGGGTTGTCAAGCTCCCCCTTCGAATGGCTGAGGATACGGCTTGATGGAGAGCAGGCAAAGCAGAAGCAACGGCGCAGAGGAGAGTCGCTCGGTCGGGCATGTGTTTGGTCACGCTGATGGGAATCAAGAACGAGCTGGCTATAGAGGTTGAATCAGAGATATGTGGTTCAGATAGAAAGATCCTTGACAGGACAGGCTCTGCTCGTCTATCAGGATGACATCGAAGATTATTTGGCTACCTTGCAGTGATTGGCAATTGCGATGCCGTTGTTATACGACGCAGAAGACGGTGAAAGTAGAATAAAACTCGAGTGTGATGTCAGGCAGGAAGATAATTGATCATGATAGAACGTTGGAGATGAGTGAATCAACCATCAAATCTCCGATTCTAATTTGAAGCGTCACCGAATCGCGCGAGCACACCGAGCTCCTGGTCAAAGGAGCGAGGAAGTTCTTCACTTGATCGAGGACACGACCGAGGACACGCATGTTGACAGACTTTTGCGCCCTTGCAATGTTGCCATGTAGTCGCTGCTGCCACTGCATATGAGTGCAGCATCACGTCGCTCTCCCTACCAATCTTGCATCAACTCTCATCACTCGTCTCTCCCCAGCTTTCCCCATCTGCTCTGTGAGTTGTCTGGTTTTACTTTTTTTTATTACACTCCACCTCCTCTATACACACTTCCGTCATCGTTTCTCCTGCATGTGACGTATTTCCACTGCTGCTCCTTCCATAACGCTCCACACCTCCGTCCTGTCTCCCTGCTTCCCTCCCGGCCTCGTCCTCCCTCGTCCTCGCTGCCCTGGCCTTCCCTTCGCCCCCGCCTTCTTCTTCTCCGCAAAGCGCACCATCACCCGATGCGCGTTCTCTGGTCGTAGCAGCTTGCTGATCGCCGCCCGGCTCTTCCCGTACGTCTCTGCGATGGTCATCTGCTTCATGGGGCTCTCCTCCTGTCCGGCCCTGTAGTAGAGCTGGATGATCTCGGCCTTCTCCTGGAGCGTGAGGCGCTTCTTGCCGATGCATGCTTGCCGGTGCGCCGTGCGCTCGACGTCGCCCCACGCTCGCTTGGTGTTCTTGGGGTCATCGGGAGAGGAGCAAGCAGGCCCTGGACAGAGCCGCTGGTCAGCGTCTTGAAGGGAGGGCTCCTCCGTGTTTGAGGGTTGGGAAGGAGGGTCTTGCTTGCTGAGGAGGCAGAGGAGGCAGAGGTCCTCGTAAATCTCAGGCTTTGTCGTGCTGGAGGACGTGTCCTCGTGCCAAATTGCGTCTCCACACTCCAGGCAGGTGGGGGAGGAGAGGGGCTCGTGGAGGAGGTCGAAAATGTCAGGAGGGGAGCGAGGAGGAGGTTCCGTTTGTGATGAGATGTTGAGAGAGGAGGAGGGCTGGAGGAGAGCGAGGAAGTCAGGGGCAGGATCATCATGCATGGAAGCCATGGATGTCAAAGCGACTGAAGAGGCTACGTACCCTTCGTTCAATCGCTTTTTTCTAGGGACCCCACCCCCCTCTTTCCATACCCTGACATGATTTTATATTGCCATATTTTATGTGCAGCTGCCTCAGCAGTCACTGTTAGGAGGATGACCACCGGTGCTACGGACACAAAGGGGTCTGTGCACCGGTACTTTCTCCTGATATCCGGACGGGTCCTGTTGGTTGACGCGTCCTTGAGCGATACCAACAATGATGCGGCCCATTTGGATCGGAACAATAGATAGTTCTTGAGTACCCCCTTGAGCATAGCCCCCACCCCCGCGGCTGAAGGCGTGAGTACCCCTGAAACTAGCCTGACGTGATTTTTTAATATGAGTTATTGATAGGTCTTGAGTACCCCCTTGAGCATAGCCCCCACCCCCCGGCTGCAGGCTTGAGTACCCCTGGAACTACCCTGCCGTGTTTCGACACTCTCAATAATACAACTTTTAAGAGCGAAATCAAGTCTCTTAGGAAAGACCTCCAAAAGAAACATGATCGAATCATTGATATGAGGCAGCGTATTAATGACCTGCATGATGATCTCGACGATGTGAACAGAAGAATCGATGACGCACTCGCAAGACTCAACGAGCGTGATTCTTCCTTTGACTACACTAAAGGCTTCTTCTACCTCACCCTTGGCCTCGATGCAACGAAGAGTTGTACACCAAGCGAGGTCACCAAGTATGAGTCCAGAAAACAACAAAACGCCGACAAGCGACTCCCAAGGCCTGCTTGCTCCTCTCCCGACGACCCCAAGAACACCAAGCGAGCGTGGGGCGACGTCGAGCGCACGGCGCACCGGCAAGCATGCATCGGCAAGAAGCGCCTCACGCTCCAGGAGAAGGCCGAGATCATCCAGCTCTACTACAGGGCCGGACAGGAGGAGAGCCCCATGAAGCAGATGACCATCGCGGAGACGTACGGGAAGAGCCGGGCGGCGATCAGCAAGCTGCTACGACCAGAGAACGCGCATCGGGTGATGGTGCGCTTTGCGGAGAAGAAGGTGATGTAACAGAAAGCGAGCCTGAGGCGACGTTGAGCGAATGGCGCAGGTCTAGGGCTAGGCGGCGGCAGGAAGACAGATAGTTATTCTGCGAGAGGAGGCTTGAAGGAAGCCGCAAGGAGAGGAGGGCAAACAGATTGCAAACTTAATCAGAACGTGAGATGGAAAGGACAAGGAGCTGAGCTGCCTGACAGAGACAGAGAACATTGGAGTGCAGTGTGAACAAGGGAACAAAGAGTGTAGAAGTGCTGAAAGATTCGTTACATTTTGCTCTGCAATGTGGGATAACAGATCCATCATCATCTTGTTCACCTGATCGCTTCCTGAAGCACCGGCCCCGAGCTGTCGGACCTTGACACCTATTGAAAGTTTGAAATAGGACCGGTGTCTTGACCAGCTCGGCAATTTGCCTGGACCGGTGGTCATCCTCCTACAGATGCCCGTCCATGCATGCACAAAAAAAACACTTCGGCCTCCGTGCTGACTTTTTTTTCTCCTCCTATCCAGGTTTTGCCGTCATCCGGGGGAGCAAGGAGCCCCGTGGGGCTGGAAAGAGGACGAGGACCTCGAAAGAGGACGAGGACCTCGAAAGAGGACGAGGACCTCGAAAGAGGACGAGGACCTCGAAAGAGGACGAGGGAGATTCCATATCTCGCAGGCCTTGGCCTCTTCTTCTCCAGGCACAGCACAAGACGTACCGCGCCATCCCCTCCTCTTCCTTGCTCAAGCTTCAAAGGGCACTCGTCTTCACCTGTGAGTCGCGGCGATGAGCTTCATCCGCACTGAAGCTGCCGCCCGCTGGTCGTCGCTGAGTGATGCGTGAGGCTCTTGATCTGCCTCATGTCAGCATGAGCAATGAAACCACGCTACGTCGCGTCGCCAAGCCGCGACATGACATTGACCACCACTGCTTTCTGCTGCAAGATGATACGTCCTGGTGGTCGGGATGAAGGCAGGCTCTCTCTCATGTGAGAGAGGCTGCTCGGGCGCCTCGGGGGGGGGGGCGGCTGGAGAGCTTGTGTGCTGCTGCCGGAGAGCTTGTCGTCGTACGGATGCGCTTTCGGTCTCTGCCATGCAGCTCTGACTCTCACAGGGAGCGCAGCGAAGCCCGTGTCTGGTGTGCGATGCTGCAGGCCTTGTACAGCACTCGGACGAGATCAGAGAGCCGCTTGAGACTTGAAGAGGGTGACATCTTGCAAAGCACACCTTGATGGCTGTACACAAGAGCCATGTGCTGGTCCAGCTGGAATCTGACAGATAGGCTCGCTGGTTGCCCGGAGCGACTTTATCTAGGGCTCGAGACGCACGACGAGAGCAGCATGCTTCTCGCCTCATCGCCAACGGTAATGGGTGAATGATGACCCTGATCTCCATCTTTCTTAATTTGATTTTTCAATGATGACCCTGATCTTGTTGTGTGTGTTCTTGTGTCTGTTTGCATCGGGCCTCTGTTTTCTGGACTCACACCTTGCTACAAAAAATTCTGAACTTGCAGCCACGACTTACTTGTTGCTCACTTCAATGACGGTCAGCAATACTTGAAAACTACTTATAAGTATATAGAGCTATTGTAAACCAATGGTTGCCTCTGAGTCGCCTGTTGCTGCTGTCAAGATTTTTCCTTTCGCCCTCAGTTCAAAGCATACTCGATCCTCAATAACCATTCCATCCCACTTCCACGTAAGCTCATGCTTGGTGGGTTTTCAGGTTTACTTCTTCTTATTACACTCCACCTCCTCTATACACACTTCCGTCCTAAACCCTCCATAACGTTCTGCATCGTCTCTCCTCCATGCGTCGTCTTCCAGGCAGCCTGTTCCATCTGATCTCCTTGCTTCCCTTCCAGCCTCGCCCTCCCTCGTCCTCGCTGCCCTGGCCTTCCCTTCGCCCCCGCCTTCTTCTTCTCCGCAAAGCGCACCATCACCCGATGCGCGTTCTCTGGTCGTAGCAGCTTGCTGATCGCCGCCCGGCTCTTCCCGTACGTCTCTGCGATGGTCATCTGCTTCATGGGGCTCTCCTCCTGTCCAGCCCTATAGTAGAGCTGGATGATCTCGGCCTTCTCCTGGAGCGTGAGGCGCTTCTTGCCGATGCATGCTTGCCGGTGCGCCGTGCGCTCGACGTCGCCCCACGCTCGCTTGGTGTTCTTGGGGTCATCGGGAGAGGAGCAAGCAGGCCCTGGACAGAGCCGCTGGTCAGCGTCTTGAAGGGAGGGCTCCTCCGTGTTTGAGGGCTGGGAAGGAGGGTCTTGCTTGCTGAGGAGGCAGAGGAGGCAGAGGTCCTCGCTGGACTCAGCACGGTCCTCGTGCCATATGGCCCCTCCACACTCCAGGCAGGCGGGGGAGGAGAGGGGCTCATGGAGGAAGTCATTGTGCAGAGGAGGGGGATGAAAGGGGTCATCTTGACATGGAGGGAGGCAGGAGGAGGGGTCGAGGAGAGCGAGGAAGTCAGGGGCGGAGGCGTGGAAGGGAGCGAGCAGCATGGGGTTGAGAGCTGAGGTATCGAGCTAGCAGGTGTCCACCGCAGAGGTCAAAAAACCAAATAAAAATCTTTAGATCTTCCGCTGCTTCTAGATTTTACTCAACTCCTCACAAGGACAGTTGTTACTCTTACAAGTGTTTTAGGCGTGCTCTACATCGTTTTAGCCGCCCGCATCCGTCCCGGTACGTGGAGAAAAAAAAACTAAAAAACATCTACACGAGACTATCTTTTTTTTATTTGGCGAACCACCACGTTGTCATGGCCGCTGCTGTTGCACTTTTAATTTCTAATAGTTGGAGTCGGCCCTATTATTGTTATAAGAGACTAGATTGCAATCATTATTAATTAACTTACCACAGGAAGTCAATTATTAATATAAGTCAATCCCAATCCGTACCCTGTTATGCTGCCGTTGATTCAGACTGACGGAACAAAGATCAAGGCTTTAATGTAGAGTAGGACTGCGACAGGCAAGGTGGGCGTTCACTGACGAGCACAAAGAAATTCGCGAAACAGCCGCTCTGTGAAGTGAGTTGCGGATAGGACGAGGGAGGCGGAGCTCGTTTCAAGTTTAACTTGCAGGGTGAAAAGGAGATTGTGTTGTAGTCATCAGAGCGAAGGAGACACGAATCGTTCGAATCAAATTTTTCAGTCATATTCACACACACATCATCCAAGTCAATTGCAAGCAGAGGCTCTCCTCGCTCCTGTCTCTGAACTTTTCACGTTACCCATGCCAGTGTGACCAGGCGCAGTCGCTCGAGGTTGATGAGAGCTCTCAGGTCGTCTGGACAGAAGTAAATGGATCCAAGGAATTGGGACCAGCCACAGGGGAGACTCGCGACGGCGGCGTCAAAGTTCGGGACTGGAAACATACAACTCTTCTTTGCATCTATCTAGAAGGATATATTGATGGGAGAGCAGACGTCCAAAACGAGCAAGGCTCCCGTCATAATTCATTTAGAGCCAACTTCCAGCATCTTTCTTCGGCATCTCTCTTCCTGAGTCTGCATCTCCTGTGACAGGCAAAATTGCACAATAAGAACCTGCTTACTTACAACGCGATCCTGATAGCGACGTAGACAGCATCTCGGTCGCCCTGACCAGAGCTGTGGCCTATTCACACCTTGAGTCCTACATTTTCTCCAGACACATCCCCCCTGCCGCTCTTGGCTCCTGATCGCTCCGCCTGCTAGTACTTGATTTCCGTCAGCGACTCTCCTCACTCGGCGTCGTCTTCAGCGATATGAGCTGGGTCAAGCTTGACCCCCTCCCAACGTTTGCCAGGCAGAGTGATGGTACAATTGCCAACAGGAGGACAGAGGAGGACAGACCTCTCACCTCTCTACTAGAGCACAGGAGCCGTCTATGAAAGACGAAGACTGCAAGGAGCGACGGGGTGCAGAAAGGTGTGAAGGGAGGGACGAGAGTCAAAAGGGAGAAATTGAGTGCAACAGCACCAGCTCCTCGTCGACCAGAGCGAGGAGCAGGATGAGGAGGGATGCCTGGCTGGCTGGGCGTGCGAGGTGGAGAGATTGTGGGGGAGGAGCAGGAGCCGTCTATGCAGATCGATGGCAGGAATCGGAGCGTACGGGAGGGGTATTTGAGAGCAGGAAGGTATGAAGCGAGTGCAAGAGAGATTGCAAGCAAGGACAATGAAGGCGTGTGATGGTGAGGGAGGAGGAGTGATCGAGCAAGCAGCAGGAGCGTGGAGGATGGGTGAAGGCGGCAGAAGATGTGAGGGATGAGACGGGAGTGACGTTCGGAGGCGAAGGGGGGTGGGGGGGGGGAAGAGGTCGACATCAGTGATACCTCTACTCGGGTGGATCCACTTACGAGGTCCTCACGTCCTCTTTTCGCTGTTTCGCTGTCCATTATTATAAAGATCTCCCTTACAATCTCCCGGACCTACATCTTTACTCCCTCCCGGGTCATAGGGGGCTAGGGCTAGCTAGACTAAAACTATAATACGGAGGTTATATTGGGTAATGACAAAAACAAAAAAAACCCGGAACTAAAACCACTTTTTAAAACGACTTCCGAGACTTGACCCGCCGATCAATCATAGGAGGACGACCACCGGTCCAACATAAGTATCCTTCTCCAGCACCGGTGCTATCCTCCTCCTCCATGGCGCTTCCGCATGATCATGACCCGCCTCCTGATGCTTTTCCTGAATGTTTCCTCCGCGCCCCCTCCATCCCCCAGGACGACTCCAGCTCTCATCGCCAGCCGACTCCTGCTCTCGCCGCTGACCATGCACAGTCGAAGCGACCGGAGCCTCACCTCGAATCATTCTCTTCCCACGCGTGCAGAGACTGCGGAGGAGCAGTATTGATCGACCAAAAGGATAAAACTGAGACGGACATCTGCCTCCTCTGCCTCCTCAGCAAGATCGATGCATCACCAGAAGAACAGCTAAAAACAGAACAGAACGACACTGAGCTCTTCTTAGACACCTCATCCCGCCCACATGAAAACCAGGACCCCAAGAATACCAAGCGAGCATGGGGCGACGTCGAGCGCACGGCGCACCGGCAAGCATGCATCGGCAAGAAGCGCCTCACGCTCCAGGAGAAGGCCGAGATCATCCAGCTCTACTACAGGGCCGGACAGGAGGAGAGCCCCATGAAGCAGATGACCATTGCGGAGACGTACGGGAAGAGCCGGGCGGCGATCAGCAAGCTGCTACGACCAGAGAACGCGCATCGGGTGATGGTGCGCTTTGCGGAGAAGAAGAAGGCGGGGGCGAAGGGAAGGCCAGGGCAGCGAGGACGAGGGAGGGCGAGGCCGGAAGGGAAGCAGGGAGACGGGAAGGAGGAGGTGGGAGCCTCATCATCGCAAGGAAAGTCGAAGGCGATGGGGGAAGCGGGCCTTGGGGAGGCTGGGAGCTTGTATCAAGGAGGATGGTAGGGACTGGTAGAAGTTGATTGACGAAGCCTAGTAAACCTGATGACTCACAGAGCAGGGCTGCAAGGCAGTTGGAACAAAAGGGAGAAAAACAACAAGATCACAGTTTAGGAGCGAGCCATGGCTTTATCAGTAGAATCTTCCACAGTGCTTACTGTCGTCCTTGTCTTCTTCCTCATTCATGACGTGATCATGTTTTCGTTTCATTTTGACCAAGAGCTGCCAGATGGAGATTTCATCGCATACCCGTCGGATAGCAATCAGGCCTCGTCGCCACCAGGTAGCTCAACCGTCGATGTCTCTCCTGATACAGTCAAAGACAGCATCTCCCATCTTGTTTGCCCTGACCAGAGCTGACAGCAACCGCTTCTTGTCGTGTCCAGCTTCCTCCTCCACAAACACACCCGATACCCCATCCTCACCTCTCTCCCGCATCTCTCCTGCGTGGTCAAGCTGCTTTTGGCTTCTGATCCACATGACAAATCCGCCTGCTAGTACTTGATTCCCCTCAGCCTGATCGCATACCCGCCAAGCAACGTTTCTCTCAGCCATCTCCTCTGCTCCCCGTCCAGCCGTATCCTTAGCGATATGAGCTGGGTCAAGCTTGACCCCCTCCCAACGTTTGCCAGGCAGAGTGATGGTACAATTGCCAACAGGAGGACAGAGGAGGACAGACCTCTCACCTCTCTCCTCCTCGTCTCTCCTGCTGGTCCGTCCTACCCGCACTGAGCGATCCGCCCCTTGCAGCATCAGCTCCTCCTCCTTCAGAGTACGATGAAAAGGGAGCAGCATTGAAAAGCATGGCGAGGAACATCTTGCTCCAGCCAGGAACGAGGAGAGATATGGGAGGGGGGAGAGCACAGGAGCCGTCTATGAAAGACGACGATGCAAGTGGCGTCTTCGAGGGGTGTTTGAGAGTAGGAAGGTGTGAAGGGCGGGACGAGAGTCAACAGGGAGGAGCCGAGCGATTCCAATGGTGTGTGATGGCAAGGGAGGGAGAGGAGGATTGAGTGAGAAAGACAGGTTTGTCATCATGACGCTTACCTCTGTAACCATCTGCCACACAGACAATGATTGAAATAAAGCAATGGACGACCCAGCATTTCATTCCAACTCCAGTTCGGCAACCTGCTTGACACACAACATCTTTCACAAACACTCCATTATCCTTGATATAACTTCATACTCCTTCTCCCCTCCAGCCACCTTCACTCCACCTCCTTCGGCAATCTGAAGGCAGGGCCTGACCGGTGGTCATCCTCCTATGGATGTCGATTAAGTCAAACTTTGGCCTCCGTGCTGACTTTTTTTTTCTCCTCCTATCGAGGTTTTGCCGTCATCGGGGGGAGCAAGGAGCCCGTGGGCGCCCTGGAAAGAGGACGAGGACCTCGAAAGAGGACGAGGGAGATTTCGTATCTCGCAGGCCTTGGCCTCTTCTTCTCCAGGCACAGCACAAGACGTACCGCGCCCTCCCCTCCTCTTCCTTGCTCAAGCTTCAAAGGGCACTCGTCTTCACCTGTGAGTCGCGGCGATGAGCTTCATCCGCACTGAAGCTGCCGCCCGCTGGTCGTCGCTGAGTGATGCGTGAGGCTCTTGATCTGCCTCATGTCAGCATGAGCAATGAAACCACGTTACTTCGCATCGCCAAGCCGCGACACGACATTGACCACCATTGCTTTCTGCTGCAAGATGATACGTCCTGGTGGTCGGGATGAAGGCAGGCTCTCTCTCATGTGAGAGAGGCTGCTCGGGCGCCTCGGGGGGGAGGGGGGGGCTGGAGAGCTTGTGTGCTGCTGCCGGAGAGCTTGTCGTCGTACGGATGCGCTCTCGGTCCCTGCCATGCAGCTCTGACTCTCACGGGGAGCGCAGCGAAGCCCGTGTCTGGTGTGCGATGCTGCAAGCCTTGTACAACACTCGGACGAGATCAGAGAGCCGCTTGAGACTTGAAGAGGGTGACATCTTGCAAAGCACACCTTGATGGCTGTACACAAGAGCCATGTGCTGGTCCAGCTGGAATCTGACAGATAGGCTCGCTGGTTGCCCGGAGCGACTTTATCTAGGGCTCGAGACGCACGACGAGAGCAGCATGCTTCTCGCCTCGTCGCCAACCTCGTGAGGAAACGGGTGAATGATGACCCTGATCTGCATCATGCGTTGAATGTTTTGCTTGCCGGATTATCTCATCTTGCTCTTGAGGATTCTGGCCTTTTCCTCACTGCTGGAATTCTGTCGTTCTTATCTTCTCCCGTCTCCATGTCATCCTACTTCTAGACTGTGCTTTTCCCGATGCATTGTCACTCCGCTGTATTGGATTTCAGGTTTTACGGCTTTTTGTAAGATCTACAAGCCTGTATACAAGCTCCCAGCGCTCGCCTCCTTCGTCCCGTCTCCCTGCTTCCCTTCCGGCCTCGCCCTCCCTCGTCCTCGCGGCCCTGGCCTTCCCTTCGCCCCTGCCTTCTTCTTCTCCGCAAAGCGCACCATCACCCGATGCGCGTTCTCTGGTCGTAGCAGCTTGCTGATCGCCGCCCGGCTCTTCCCGTACGTCTCCGCGATGGTCATCTGCTTCATGGGGCTCTCCTCCTGTCCGGCCCTGTAGTAGAGCTGGATGATCTCGGCCTTCTCCTGGAGCGTGAGGCGCTTCTTGCCGATGCATGCTTGCCGGTGCGCCGTGCGCTCGACGTCACCCCACGCTCGCTTGGTGTTCTTGGGGTCATCGGGAGAGGAGCAAGCAGGACCTGGGAGTCGCTGGTCGGCTTCTTGAAGGGAGGGCTCCTCCGTGTTTGAGGGCTGGGAAGGAGGGTCTTGCTTGCTGAGGAGGCAGAGGAGGCAGAGGTCCTCGCTGGACTCAGCACGGTCCTCGTGCCATATGGCCCCTCCACACTCCAGGCAGGCGGGGGAGGAGAGGGGCTCATTGAGGAAGCTGTTGTGTAGAGGAGGGGGATGAAAGGGGTCATCTTGACATGGAGGGAGGCAGGAGGAGGGGTCGAGGAGAGCGAGGAAGTCAGGGGCGGAGGCGTGGAAGGGAGCGAGCAGCATTGGAGCTGAGGTGTCGAGCCGCAGGCGAGCTGAGGTCAAATCTTTCTTTTAAAAAAAACAGCGAGAGCATCCATCTTGTATTTTTGTGTTTTAGCCGATTGTTTGTACGTAGAGGCACGAACCGTTGCGATCTCGAGTCTTCTGAGTAGTAAAGCCGTACAGGCCGCGACCCTTGGAATCATATTGCACACGGCAACTACCGTCTAAACTGTGTAGTACAGAGTTTGTAGCCGCGAAATACTAAAAGTTTTAAGTTTATTAGTTTATAGGAGTGTAGCCGCGTACGTAACCGCGAAAACACGGAACGACATTTCGAACCGTTGAAATATTATTGAAATATTATACTTTTAAATCAATTTAAAATATAGTATAACGTATCGATTACTTTTCATTGCTTCATGTAGCCGCGTCATGAGCGGCTAGAGTCGGCCCTGAGTCGCAGTGCTCAATCTCTCAGATGCCATGATGCCGGGCTGCCAGGCTGCCGGGTACGTTCGGAACTTGAACTTCACTGAGAGGCTCGGCGAGCACTGCGGCTCGGCGACTCAGTACTGTGACGCAATCGGCAGCGGCGGGTCAAGCCTCCTCTACTGACTCTCCTGATTGTCTTCCGGCGTACCGTACTGCCAGGGCCACTATTTTTAACTTCAAGTAACTTTTGACGGTAAACAATGCAACTTGAGTCAGTGAGCGCCATCACCGTACGGTTCACTTTCCGAGAAGTTCCTCATGCGCCGATGAGTAACTCGCACTGAGCGATCGGACCGTCACTGGGATCCGGCGGGCAGCGCGGCCGGCCGCTGACCCGGAGGCGGCGTCGGACACCCGAGCCGGCAGCCACGCGGCCCAACGGGGCGGCCACCGCGGTGCGGCACCGCGGCACTGTGAGGGTGACCGTACTCAGGCCCACAGCCCAGGCCGCGCCGGTCGGAGCCCAAGTTCTCCGGGCGGTGAGCCTCAGCCGGCGGAGCGGAGTCAGTCGTCGGACCGCACGAGACTCCGACGGTCACCAGTGAGCGGCACTTGAATGGGAAAGAGAAACAGCCACGGGGAAATCATTCGGAGGAGCCTGAAGTCTGAGCCAGTTCGGAAAGGGAGGGATGAAGGGAGGAAGGGAACTTGGAACGACTCGGAGAGGGATTCAACTTCAGACTAAATCAGAGGGATTGGGCGACGGACGGGATGAGAGGAAAGAGAGAGAGACTGTGGTCACGGTACACCGGACCCAAGTGTTCTAGTAAGCGCAGTAGTGATTGCTCTGGTGATCTCTCTCATTCCTGAAGGTTGTGTGTACGGTACAACCTCTGGTAGCAAGTTGGTTCAGTTTCAATGGCCTCGAAAAGAATTTATGGAAACAAATCGACATGTCCGGCAAGAAAGGATTTCCGCCCGCAGGAAATCGTGACGGTCGCGCTCAAACTCGGTAGAGAAGTTGTGTGTACAACAGAGACAGAGGCAGAGGAAGACAAAGAGAAAGACACGGGGACAGAGACAGAGAGGAAAAGAGAGATAGACAGAGACAGACAGACAGACAGACAGACAGACAGACAGACAGACAGACAGACAGACAGACAGACAGACAGACAGACAGACAGACAGACAGACAGACAGAGCAAAGAAGAGAAAGTGGAGAGAGAGAGGATAGATCTAGGAGAGTTATGGAGGGGGGAGGTTGATCGAAAGCGGCAAGGAAGACAGAAGAGGAGGAGGTAGCCAAAAGCAGGAGAAAGAGGGAAAACGAGAGAAACAAAAGAGAAGAAAAATACAGAAAGGGCAGGGCTTGGAAGAAACGGCAAGACTTAGTAGTACTACAAGCACAGTATCAAACAAAAGTTGAGAGCAAGAAATCAAAAAAAAATTTATGAGAGAATGAAAGAAAGGATTGATAGGACCCAAAGATAAGAGCAGTCAAACTTCTCATCCAAGTGTACTGGAATATTCAAGCGATACCGATACCTGACGGCTAT